GAGCTTTATTTTTGGGCTAAAATATTAAGTTAGCCGTTTTTAAAAATCGAGCTGTTTAACACCAGGTAGAGTAGTTTTTTAATATATTTACTAATAGTTAAGCATTTCAGCTAGCCCATTCATGTTGCCCATAGAGAGAGCTTAATTCTGAATACATTTTTTCACTCAAAACTTGTGGGTAGAACACTTATTCTACATAATTATATTCTTAAAATGTCTCAATCATATATAAATAAATTTCGGCTAAAAATTGAACTCAAGGAAACTCCTGAGCCGGTTTGAGTCAAACTCCTGAGCCTGAGTTAATTTTTCGACTCAAAAACTGGTTGAGTTTAGAACTAAGTCGACTTGGCTCAGTCGTTTAACACTAATCACAAATAAATAAATTTGGGCTAAAAGTAGGCTTGAGCTAATTCCTGAGCCGATATGAGCCAACTCCTGAGCCGGCTTATTAATTTAATGTTATCAAAACACCAAATTAAGTCTAAAATAGTTGATGCAAAATTCTGGCCAAAACCATTTTTAGTTTCGACATAAATATTCTTAAAAAAATGGTAATATAATAATGTCTTTTTTCACATTAATCAATAACCAAAAATTTAGCAATTTACCAGACATTTGTGTTAGCTGTTTATAAAAATCGACTTGAATAAAGTCGTTTTACAAAATACATGTAAAAAAATAAATATCAAAAATTATAATTTACTTATAAATAAAAAAGCTAAAGCCAACCCAGAGTCTACTAGTGAGACAACTAAGTAAGCCAACTAAAAGGCTCATTTAGTCAACTCAAGTTGGAGTCGTTTTTTCAACTAGAAACTAGGCTCGAGTTACAGCTAAGTCAACTTGGCTTAGCCATTTAACAACACTAATCATGAAATTATGAACATTGTGAAATTTCTTTTAAAAAATTTATTTTAAGATAAATAAGCCATAGATTCTCTGATACTGGTATAGGTTTTCAATCTTAACCAATACCCAAAGAATAACTAAACCTCACAAATTTTAAAAATAAATTGGAGTACAAACATTAATGATAAGTTGGACAAAAATTTATCTGCAAATATATAAATAAATAAGAAAGTTATGTTAATTTTTTCTAATTTTTTAAATTCACATATAATAAAATAAATTATGACTATTAATATTTAAAGACATTTTTATTGCTTAAATGAAAAATCAAAAAAAATCTTATATTTTTTTCCAAATAAACTTAAGTTTAAAAATATTTCATAAAAAAATATGTATCAGCGTTGATCAGTCTATAACATAATGGTATCATATTGTTAAAAAAAAAGGTATGAGCCTGTCTCCAAAATATTTATAAAAAATAAAATAAACATTAAATAAGTTAATAAACAATAAAAAAAATTAAAATATGGGCCTTTATCATTAATATATTACTTATAAATTTTCTGGTCATAAGGTGATTTATGTAATAAAAAATTGAAATTTAGGGTTTTATATAATAATCAGTCTTGACCTTCTTAATAATATTAAATTTAATATTACGTGATACGTGATATATAGCGCTTATGCCCTCTAGTGTTGAAATGCAACAGAGCTACGCTAGGTTTTCCTCATTTCCATCTTATTAGAAATTATTTAATTTGGGTATAAAAGTCAAAATATTGGGCAAGCCGCAAGTACTTGTAGGCGCAACATTTCTAAAAAACATTACTTAAACCTCTATAGGCTTATTTAAAAGGGAGTGGGACAAAAAAAGAGCCTATACCCTAGAACTTCAGTGAAAGTTAATTACATTATGGTGGGTTGAGGACAATTTTAAATTAAAAATCTTTACTATATTAGAACAATTTTTGGTAAGGAAATGCAAAAGAATACTTATAAGAGGATTTGAATGTTTGTTGATATTGGAAATATTTGATAATAATAAGTTTAAATTTTTGAAATTTATTACGATAGGAAATATAAGATAGGGATTATTAGATAATGATAGTGAACATTGAATTCTGAGATGTATTTTTATTCTTATTAGCGGTAACTTTTCTTGATGCGAAACATCTTTTAATGGATCTTTTATTGTTATTTAGTTTAATGAATTGTTTCATGTTCACGTTTAAGTCCATTATATCTTTTATTGTTTTATAATACCATAATGTTTTGTATTTGTGTATTGTTTTCCATTGTATGAGTACAGCCATGTTATGGCATCATGGACTAAGTTATTATCTGAATTTCTTATTATGTGGCCTAAGAATTGAATCCGGCGTTTTTTAGGAGTAATATTTATTGGTGTGTGAGTTGACTTCCTCCAAAGATTTGAGTTTGAGATAACTCTTGGATAGAAAATACCATGTATAGTGCGAAGACAATTATTTATAAAAGATTGAAGACGCCTTATCTAGCTGTTTTATTTGCCTCCCAGATATCCCTACCATATAATACAATTGAAACTATCAACGAGTTGAATATCCTCAATCTAGTAAATACTGAGATTTCTCTAGCTTTCCATATCTTCCTATATCTATAGAACGCACCTCTAGCTTTTTGTATTCTCATCTTCATCTCGAATATTCATCGTTGGTTTGTTGATGTAAAGGCCCTAACTAATATAAACCTATCAGATCATAGACTGCTTAGAGTAATTAATATGGTTAAAAATTTATGGGGGTATCACAATGGAAACAGACAATCTTCAACTAGTTCTAGCGCTACTCCCTCGTGTAATGGTATATATCGCGAACTAAATAAAATAAGAACATTGGACAATGCAAGATATTTTGATCAAATATTAAGTAGGAAAAAAGCCAACTTCTTGAATACAATTAGGCTAGAAAGTGTTGAGAAAAGTTGGATTCTTTTTAAAGATGTTCTTGTTGATACATATAAGGTCCTGCCAGAAGTAAGTCTTATCCCAAGGAATGAATGGATGTCTAATGATACCTATGAGAAAATAAACCTGTTAAGAACAGCGAATAGCTCTAATAAGGATCTATGGAAGCTGATACAGAAACTACTGCGGAGAGATAGACGGGTCTATAGCGCGAAGAAAGCTTTTGACATTGACAAGGATGTGAGAGAAAATAGACTATATGATGCATACAAGAAATTAAAATATTTCTGTAAACCTTGTAGCTTTAAGAAGATACCTTCAATTGTATTAAATAATGGTAAAGTAATAACTGACCAAGATGAACAAATGGCTTTGTGGCTTGATTATTATATTAGGGTTTTTGACGGGCGCAAAGTCACTATACCAACTAGTTTAAATATAAATATTGCTTCACCCCAGTCTGGGTTATCGGTAAATAAAATAATGAATGTAATAAAAAAATTACGTAACAATAAAGCTCCAGGGCTCGACAACATTACTGCTGAGTATCTAAAGATAGCACCTAGAACGACATCTTCCTTCCTTCTGGCCCTCTTCAATAAAATATGGGAAAGTGGAAGTACCCCAACAGAATGGGACAAGTCCTTTTATGTAATTTCCCCAAAACTGCAAATCCTTTACTGATTATTGTGCGTGCGCTCTAACATCTTGCGTGTCCAAAATATTTATGGTACTTATAAAAAATAAAACTGTTCAATCGACGCCTAATCTTTTTCCTAAACATATTTGTGCTTATAGGCCAAATAAAAATATACTGGAACCTATATTATCTCTGAAAATAATAATGCAGAAGTGTCATAAATACAAGATACCCTCATTCTACACATTCATTGATTTTAGTAGAGCATTTGACAATGTTAACCATGTAGCTCTTTGGGAAACGCTAGCAGAATGCGGTATTGAAACCCAAATAATTCGAATCTTAAAAAATCACTATTCAAATTTATTTGCTTGTTTCAAAATAAATGATAAAATCTCTCCCTTCTTCAGGATAAAAAAAGGTGTAAAACAAGGCTGCACCCTCTCACCTCTCCTTTTTAACATAATAATCAATAAAATAATAAAAGATGTACTGGGAGCTGCTGATCTAGTTGATATAGGATCAAATGAGAAGATTTTTTTTGTAAATAGGATAATATCTTATGCGGATGATATTGTAGTAATCTCGAAAAGTATTGAAGAAACCAAGAATACTTTATCTAATTGAGACTGTGAGCTATAGAGTTGGACTTAGGATCAACTTTAACAAAACTGTTATTCTTCCCTCCCCAAACGCGCCTTCAATTCAAAATTTTACAGTTGGAGAGAATACAGTAAAAATCGTAGATAAAATAAAATACTTAGGTGTAATCTTAGATAATAAAGGAAGTTGTAAAGATGAGATGAAGATGAGAATACAAAAAGCTAGAGGTGGGTTCTATAGATATAGGAAGATATGGAAAGCTAGAGAAATCTCAGTATTTACTAGATTGAGGATATTCAACTCGTTGATAGTTTCAATTGTATTATATGGTGGGGATATCTGGGAGGCAAATAAAACAGAGATAAGGCATCTTCAATCTTTTATAAATAATTGTCTTCGCACTATACATGGTATTTTCTATCTAAGAGTTATCTCAAACTCAAATCTTTGGAGGAAGTCAACTCACACACCAATAAATATTACTCTTAAAAAACGCTGGATTCAGTTCTTAGGCCACATAATAAGAAATTCAGATAATAACTTAGTCCATGATTCCATAACATGGTTGTACTCATACAATGGAAAACAATACACAAAATACAAAACATTATGGTATTATAAAACAATAAAAGATATAATGGACTTAAACGTGAACATGAAACAATTCATTAAACTAAATAACAATAAATGATCCATTAAAAAGCTGAAATGCAAGAGATAAAAATGACTTATTTTTGGACCTTTCAAATGTTTTTCTGTTTTGATTATAACCTCATAATAATTCAAATTGAAGACTTGCTATTTAATAGTTGACTGATATAGAATTAGTCATGTGATTATATAAAATGGTTAAATTAATGAAATCCCCATTTTTAGGCACATTTTGTTATCAAAACTTATTTTCAATTAAATATATAAATATCTGATAATAAAAATATATTTTTTTAAAAAAATAAATACTTCGAGTTCAGTTTCATCTTCTGGCAATTCATTTAATCTACTACCATTTAAACTCCTATACTCATCAGATATATTTTCATTTAATAACAAAAGGTTTTGGGGTTTTTCACGTAATATATAATATCTAGTTGATGCTCCAAAATGAATTGAGCAATCTATTGGAATGGGTTGAGGTTTTTGGATTTCTAATCTAATTGAACCAACAAACGTACCATGTACTTAAATATAATGGCCATTAATGGGGCATATTAAATATTAATACATACCACTTCCCAAATCTATTAAAAAAGCTCTTTCAAGATCCTTATGCCAAATAAGTGCTGCATGAAGACGAGAGCATGAAGCGTGATCTGTTACAAAATCACAAATTTTTGAATTTCTACCAAATAAATAGTAATTTTTTTCATCAATCATAAATTTCTATTAAAGATTTATTCATTAAATTGAAATATCTTGTTTAAACTTGAATCAATTTATCCCCTTTAACAACATCCAAATGTAAACCTGATGGAGGTTTTCCCGCCCTAAGAGTTATAAAATCAAAAAATAATTTAACATCAACAATCAGACCATGAGGGAGGAATATATTTCTCTTCCATTTAAAATTATTTTCATAGATTGACTAAATTTGTAAGAATTTAATGTTTCTGTCATGTGTCAGTTTTTAATAGATTACACGTTATTTTGTTAGATAAGGTAAGAAAAGTGCTATAGCTATAATATAAAAATGTAAATAATATATTTAAGGTTGGTATTACGCAAAGAATTGATAGGCCTTGATCAATTATATTATAAAATGAAAATACTTTTGATAAAATAATCTATGAATAATTTATAGTTTATCATAAAAATAAAGAAGGAAGACGATGCATTTATAAGAGACTGGCAAAAAATCTATATGACCGAAATTATATAAAAATATTAATACTTTTTTTATTAATAACTCATATTCAGATTTATGCAGTATCGCAATACTTGTACCTGAGATAAAGATAGTATCCTTTTGTATCTTGCATTCAGATTCTTTTTGATATTTAGATAAGATACTTGTCAAAGATGCTTTATTTTCAAAAGAATCTTGTTCTTAAAAGACACAGCTACTTTTTTAAAATTTTTGTATAAATATTTTTAATAATCACTTAAAACTTTATATTCTCATGGATTCTTGTATTAATTATTCTTTATTTGCTGTTATCATATTTTAAAAATCTCGGTAAAATTTACAGTATACAAATTCAACTTGAGAATCTACAACAAAAATTTTATCAAGGTAACAAATAGCAGCACCAAAATTAAAGAACCTAAGCTGCATCGACTAACAGTCAGCGTTCTGTAAGATATGCTTATTTGTTTATTTTTATTATAATTATATTTATTTTATTTATATTTCTTAAATAATTAATTATTATAAAAATAATCTTATGAATTATCAGATAATATTTAATAAATAACTTTAATTTACAGCTATTCAATAAGCCATTCAGAAAAGTGGACGAATTTACGAATCAAATAACTATACGATCAAAGTTAGGCAAATTGAAATTAAATATGATTATGTTACGAAAATTAATTTATTTATTTAATAATTTTTTAGATATAGATGTTATATTTTATTAGTAATTTTTTCACCCAAGTTTTTAAGCAAAAAAATTATGTAAGTTCAAAAAAATTTTGAGCATATATTTTGATTTGATCCGAATTTTAAATATATATGAATAAATCTTTTTTGAGGAATTCTTTTGTAATATTTATAAAACAATCTTTGAGGTGAAATGTATATTTTTTCATCATTTTTGTAAATTATCTCTTTTTTATATTAATGGTTGTTATTATATCTATGTAATTTTTTAAAATACTTATTTATATAATTAATCTTTTTTAATTATATTTTTTATGATTTTTAAAGAATAATATTTTAAAGTCACAATTATCATAATCGTTATTTTTTAAACATTTTAAAAAATTATTGCCACAAACGGGTAAAAATATTTTTTGTCAAATATTTAATTATAAATTCAATGAAGATGCTCTTTGGAAAAATGACAATTGTCTTTATCTGTATTTTTAAACATATTTGAATTTTTTGTCAAATATTTAATTATAAATTCAATGAAGATGCTCTTTGGAAAAATGACAATTGTCTTTATCTGTATTTTTAAACATATTTGAATTTTTTTGACATATATAGTAGAGGTCTCCATTAAGCGGGGTTCCGCTCCCGCCTCCTCACAAAAATTTTTTAGAAGGGGCGCGCGGGCGGGTTAAATACATTTTTAAACTATGGGCGGGTTAAGAAATTTAAGCAATGGGCGGGTGGGATAATAAAATTAAAAAACATTTAAGTAAATATTAATTAAAAATAGTTCTTATTAACTTTTTGGATATTAAATATTAAAATGTCCATTTTTGGTATCATAAAACCTTTTTATTTATTTAAAACTAATTTGGTGGAAACAACAAGAAAAAGATTCACCTAAGCTATCAAGATTAGCAAGAAAAATATTGGCGATTCCTGCAACTAGTGCTTCATCTAAATGAGAATTTAGGATCTCTAGAATTTAGAACAAGAATGTGTTTGAATCCAGAAAATGTCGATTCATTATTATTTTTGCATTATAATTGCATATAATATCATTTTATATTTATATTTTTCATAAGTATTTTATTTGATCATATAAATTATCCATATTTCAAATTGAATATTTTTTTATGCTTAATATAGTAATTTCCATAATTATAAAACTTCTTGTAGAGGTATAATGCCGACATATTTTTATTAGATGCTTAAAAAATTAAAAGAATGGCCATTATTAAATTTTATAATAGCGGGCTTGTGTTAAATTTTTTCTATAAATAATGGATGGGCGGGTAAATATTTTAGATTAATGAACGTGCAGGTGGGTAAGAAATTTTAGACTTGGGCTGGTGGGCGTGTATATTTTTTTTAAAAACTATGGGCGAGCTGGGCGAGTGGGTTAAATTTTTTTAAAATTATGGGTGGACGGGCTTATGGTTCAAAAACCCGCCCAATGCAGATCTCTAATATATAAATAAAAATATGTATTGTTAGCATTTTAAATTATAATTTCAATGAAGATGTACCATATAAAAGTAACAATTGTCATAATCGTTATTTATAACGTTTTTTAATTTTTTTTAAGCAAATGGGTGATAAAAAATGTTAAATTAAGATTTCTGTACCACAAAAAAGGGACAATTGTTAAAATAATCATTTTTAAACTTTTTTAATTATAAATATATATTGTAAAAATATGGTTTAAGTTTCCAATTTCGACAAAAGTTTATTCCTGTAAGATAAAATACGATTTTAGGGACACGATATAGAAACATGGTATATATCCCAAAGATGATAAAATCAAAGCAATTATAGACATGCCGGAACCAAAAAAAATCAGAAGAACTATATACTTTCTTAGGCATGGCGAGCTATTACCGTAAATTTTTAAACAATTTTGCAGGTCTGGCAGATCTACTGTATAAAATAATTAACAAAGATACATGGTCTTGGGTTACCGAACATCAAGAATGCTATAAAAAATTAAATACTTTAATCAGTCAACCTCCTACATTTAACTTTTCAATCCTGATTTACTCATAGGTATAGCCGATGATGCGTCTAAACGCGGCTTGGGAATTTTATTTCACATTGATGGGGACAGCAAAGAAAAGCCGATAGCTTTTACCTTAATCCTTACTAAAATCCGAAAAAAATTACACTCATCGAACGCGATGCGTTAGTGATTATTTTTGCAATGAAAAGATTTCAAGAATATCTAATTGGAACAAAATTACAATCATCACCTATCACAAGCCTTTGATCTGCATTTTTTTCTAAAGGTTTAAAAGAATCATCCTTGTCGATGAGGTTGCAGATGTGGAACATTGCTATGAGAGCTTACGACTTCTAAATAAGCCATAGAGCGGGTAAACACAACACTGTACCAGATTATTTGTCCAGATTGCCATTAACACCTTCAGAAGAAGAAACACACATTGTGGATGATATAAAAGAAATAATGATTTATGGGATGTACCAATTGTCTTTAACCCTTGCGCCCGGAATATTTTATGAACAAAAAATACTTGTACTTTGATATATTAAAATAATGATTTTGACAGGTTAATGATATAATACGAAATAATAAATATTGTTTTATAAATTAATATCTTTAAGTACCAACCATTAGATTCTTTAAATATAAAAATTAATTGATTAAAAATTTTGACGACAAATGATCTCGCTGGGCGTTAAAGGTTTAAAATGATCGAAAAAGAAACTTCTAACGACAGAGAATTAATGGAAATAATAAACGACATTAGAAACGGTGACACGATAAAAAATTAAACATATAACAATATGGTGACGGAATTATGTATTATGAGAAATTGTTTATTTAACGAAAATAAAATCATGATGCCAAAAATTTTAATAAAATCAATACTACAACATTTACACGTTGGGTGCCGGCAAAACCAAACATTTAGCTAAAGAATACCTTTGGTGGCCTGGAATTAACAATGTTATTGATAACGAAATAAAAGAATGCAAATCATATAACATTTGGGCCAATAATCCCATTAACACACAGCATCCTTGGATGTTAACGACGAAGCCATTCGAAAGATTGACTACGCTCATTACTTTCAGACTTCAGCCCACCATCAGCAGTCAAATGGGCAAGTTGAAAGGATGGTAAGAACTTTCAAATCACACCTGAAGAAATGTATGGAGCAAAACAATATAGATAGATATCGCTCTTGAATTTTTTTTATTCAACTACAGAAACACGCATAACAAATGTACCCAACCAAGAAAACTTATGTTCAATCATGATATGAGAACTAATTGGGATTTATTAAAGTATAAAAAAGACAACGACAACATTTTGCTCATAGCTTTACCAAAAAATTGAACTATGGATATTGGAGAAAATATTTGGTACAAAAGTTTTGGAGTGAGGCGTTATAGTTAAAAAAGAAAGTAACATGCTATATCAAATTCACACGAAAAATGGTATATTAAGGAGGTACTTAGACCGACTTAAAAAAAAAGATTTACCACGACAAAATTTTCATGCATGAACCAAACACTTCACCAACGGTTACATTTTACATAAGGAGAAATGTTATTGACCAAGAAAAAGATTGTACAGCCGACGTTTCGAGGCCGAAAAGAAATAAAACGTTGCCTGCTAGATATCAAGATTATATCATGAACTTATAAGATTCACATCCAAGAAGAACATGAGTGGAGTTCATTTCTTAAAGGGTGGAATGTTGAAATGACCTGATTAATTTTTTTATATATATATTTCTTTTTTGTTGTATATTAACTTAATACTAATTTTGCGGACTCATTTTATAATATTAACTCAATAGTTTGATTCAAAATAATTTTTATATAAATTATTAAATAGATTTTTCGTTTATATAAATTGATTTTTACAAGCTATATAAGCATTAAAATATATTGCATTTTTAGTTAAATAATTTTTTATAATAAATTAAAATAAAATATAATTTTAAAATACTTTCTTAATTTTGTTTTTCTCCCTGCCAACCTTAAACAAAAATAATATTAAATTTTAAAGAATGGTAAAAAGACCTATTCTCATATCAAGAAAGGAACCTGCATAATAGATCGAATA